AAGGTATTGAAGGATTGTAGAAACGATTTGCTGAAGAAATGCCTATGATTCTTTGCATTTACAGGTTTTGTTAACTTTATAATCGTTCGAGTTTTCGTTAACTAGTTTGTTAAGTTGAGCATCACGACTATATGTTTGAACAAATTTGTCAACATATGTCTAGGTATTGGATTTAGTTTGTGAAGTTTGTTGATTGCAGATTGTTTTAAACCTTGTGTTTCAGTACTTTTACTCTATATGATTCGTAATGTTGATATCTTTTAAGTAAGGTTCATATCTTTAGTAATTAGCGTAACTTGGTATGATTAGAGATACTCGGTAAACTAATTGTTCTTGCACTCCTATGTGATTTTATATAGTGACTGTTATGATTGATACTATTCGTTTTGTATGAAATGCTGAATTTGGTTTCACTTACTAACATGTCATTTAAGTGCATATAACAGGATGAACATTCCAGGGATTTGGAAATTCTCGTGATCAGTTTTAAAACTTAGAATCACGTATTGTTGAGAGATCTGTTGCATCTAGTACTGTAGATTCAGATAGTTTGTTAATTAAAGTATTTGAACAATAAATGACCATACTCATCTATTCCAAAGTTTGGTTAATTAAAACAATATCAGATCACAATAAAATAATTAGTATTTGCTTTCTTATTTTTAGGTAGATCATTAAGATGACAACTTTAGACGCTATTGTTTTCAGATCATAACTTGTGTTATTTCTTGAAGGAGACTGAGAAGTTTTCATCAATTACATATACATGTAAACCTGTTTCATTCAAACAAAAATTATATTCATATATATATATATATATATATATATATATATATATGACTTTATGAATAAATTAGATTATTGTGAACAGGATGCTTCAATTTATTTTATTAATTAATTTCACTGACGCCAAATAATAATTTCCGTCAAACGTTGTATTTTTCTATTGACTATTTGCGTGTTTGTGCATATACGTTATTGATATAGCTTAGCAGTTTGTTTTAAAAGTTTTGCTTCGATGTTAACGTTCTTTATATAAGTCTCAATACAATTGTCTCACTATTTCGTTTCATTAACTTTCATTCATTAAACAGAGTGAAAACTATGGATTAAATATTAGAAATAATAATAATGGATTTTTAGGAGAGATTAAAATTCAGTATAATAGCTGTTTTCTTTAGTAAGATATCAAGATTAACGGAGGTATGTATATAGTAAATTAGTTAATATATATCTCATACTTTATAGACAATCTTACTTAATGGGATATTATTGTCTCAAAATTCAATATTTTAATCTATGTTTAACCGAGGATAAAAAATGTATACACTTTATTATCAGACATTGGAAATCAATACTTCGAAAAAAAAGAGAACGAACTGAATAAGTCTGTTATGTGTCTTCACAGAAGAATTTATTTGTTTGAATTGTAAATCGCATATTATGTCTCCTCATGAGACTATTTTAGAAGGAGGTTTAAGGAAAACAATCGTAATGCTCATTTGTAAGAAACAGTTTTGCCAAACACTTCATTAATTTAACGTCTAACATAGCTACACGATTGTGACTTGTTTACTAATAACTTATTTAGTGTTTTTTAGTCACATTCAACAAGATTGAATATATGCTGTTTCTGATACCAAGTGCCAAGTTAAATGTATGTGATAAACAGTTTCATTTTTTGTCAAATATATTGATACTCCTTATTGTTTACTGATTAATTACTGTAAGCAGCTCGATCGAGGAGGTCATGAAAAACCCAATATTAACTTCTCCAACTAAAGTTTGGGATGTTGTGGTGCATCTAACAATAATATGATAGTACAGGGTTGTTGGCTGACAAACAACAAAAGTACTTGGTAAATATAATTTAATTAACATTAGCACCTATACAATATAAGATTAATTATTTTTTACTATATAAATTGTAGGGGTACATTATTATTGTTACGCAATAATAATTTTACACGTCTTTAAATATGTACTTTTGATCAATAATATTTCAGACAAGTAAACTTTTAATACGTTTTGGATCGAACTACTACACCTAACAGTTGTTCACAGTATGAGAAGTTAAGTTGTTCTAGAAAATGTCTTGTTATTAATATACTTATGAATGTAATCCTCATGAGTATAATATCCATTAAAAATCAGTTAAAGTTTGACTAATCTTCATAGTCATATTGCACGTTGTAATAGTAATCTCAAATTGCTACTGATGAAACAAGTACTTAAAGCAAATATATTAGTCTGATCATATTTGCTAGTTTACTCCTATGATTTTAAATAACATGACATTAAACATATTTAGAAAGAAACTGGATCAACATTTATTTTGATGTTTGATTTCCAATTTAACCGTTTCCATATAATTACAATTAACTATTATATAATGATAATGCTTATCGAAGAGAAACCCTAAGAAATGGTAGTGCTTGTTATCATTTGAAAACTTATTTGCCTCGAAAATTAAAATAAAGTTCTAATTTTCTGGGAGAAATTTCCATGTAGTATTACACTTGAAGGTTGGAAATTGATATCTATATTATTCTTTTAATTCTCATGATTACTGTACGCATAAATTAATCCATAGATTTCTAAACTTTAATCAATAAATCTATCAGTATAGGGGTTGTGGAGATTGTTAAGTTTTGATTGAGATCATAAACCGATTAATGCCGTGACCAGTGGAGGTAATCCGTGTCGGGTAGAAACAGGTGTCTACCTCAGTACAATGGAAGATGATTGTGCAACTTCGCTGATTGGTTGAGGTTAGACATTAACAACATTGGATGCCGGCTCAGTGGTCCAGTAGGTTAAGTGTCCTCGCGCGAGACTGAAGACCCTGGGTTCGAATCCCGCGAGCGGGATCGTGAATGCGCACTGATGAGGAGCCCCACAATAGGATGAATCGGCCATCCAGTGCTTCCAGGTTTTCAATGGTGGTCTAACATCAATCGGTTCATGATCTCAATCAATAAATCTATATTTAGAAGGAAGGAGTAAGCATGTTACCCAGATTTTTGGTTATATTTATTAGTTATAATATTTGGATCTAACGATAATTGTAAATTGTACCCATTTAGTAAGTTATTAACTAATCAGTGGCGGTTGATATTTTCCTAATATATGTTATATGCTTATGCCCGGACATACTGGACTGCATCATACCATAGATGGAAAATAACAATTATACAGGTTCGTTACTAATAAACTGAAAATATCTTAGGAATAGAAAATAGTATGACAATAGTCAATCGGTCAAATAAGAGCTTATAATCAAAGGAATGTGAATATACATGTAATATAGTTACTTAATAGTCATACAATAAGAATATTCATTTAATATTAGTCCATAGATAATTCACAACGGTTACATTCATTTATTCTTCGTACGGACCTAACAAAATTACTTTGAGTTAACCTACTAATCTAGACACAAAACACTTGAGACATAGTTCATTTGTTGTTTTATTCTTCCATGTAACACAATGTCATAAAAGTCCATAGTTGTAAGCTAAAAATAAAAGGATTATGTTGATTTTCGTGTAGAGCAAATGAGATGCAATATTTAAGTAAGAAAATCAGGAAATAATTTTTCGGCCAGACTATAACTTATAGATGAGCCAATCAGGTATAAGATAAGAGGTCTCGGGTTTTGGCGCGAAATTCATTCAACCATTCGGCTAAATAGCGTTTTGATACTTTAGATGGTGTCGATTCATGATGAAAAACCTAAATCTAATTCCTAACCCTAATCATAATCCTAATTCTCCACACTGATTTACAACCTTCGTTTAGTCCTAGTTATAAGATGGACATTCTCAAGGTCACTTTAGCGTCGCTCAAAGGTTGTCCATAATTTATAGTCTCATTAATTTTCCTTTTCTTTCATCAATCGTTATGAAATAAGTTCATTAATTATGAATGAAGCTTGATCTGATTCTTTGACTCTGTTGTGTAATAACTCTTGTGGTGCAGATATAGTCAACTATTTAAATAATAGTTTAACTGACTGTCATGTTACTCAGATAAAAGTGAATACTATAAAATTAAACATGGATACATTGAATTATCATGTCAAGTGTATTTAACTTGAAATCATTTGAATTTTCGTTTGAGAAAAACACAGAAAGCAAGCAACTTATCTAACTACCAAACATACGTAGCAGTTTTTCCAGAGTTAACAACTTAAGAGAATAACAACTATATTCAACAGTTTCTGAGTTTATTCTCATAAACTTTATGGACTTGATTTTAAAATTACTGGTTCGTAGATGGGTCTTACTTGATATTCTTACTGTACTATTATTCAACTGACATTGTATCTTCCTAAAAATTTATTGATATGTATACGAATAAAGGGTGAAGACAAATCTATTCAGTTTGTTGTATGATTAAAATGATATACAACTATCTCCAAAATACTTCTTGAACTTGTAATTCAACATATTGTTTTATACATTAAGCATTTTATCTGCACTAATCTACTTCGACACTTTAATCATAACATCAAAATGATAAGCTTTCAAAGTTATCTAATCTAATAAATTAAATTGATGCATATCTTCTCAATCAATATTTATTCCCTTCAACTAAGTACTAAAATGACAATTGTTCACGATTGTTTGTAAAGTTTATTTGAAACAGAAAGAGAATACGTATAATATTTATGATATAAAGAGTTGCATATATATGATGAACAGAAAATCATGTTTAACATTGATGCTTCAGAATTTCACGAATTCGATCGCTTAATTTTGAACTGTTATATTTCTCGTTTCAGTGAACATAATTGTTTTTTTTTAAATTATTGGTTTTAGAATTAATAACATGTATTATGTTATTTAGGTAAGTTATCCTACTTATCATAAAGGTAATCGTTCTTCTAACCTGTTATATAACTATATTCGATTGTTTATAGTATATATAATATCTGATTACTCACAGTTAATTTGTTAATTAAATAAACATTTTTTAAATTTTATTTCATTATATAGATGTGGAACACAACTTCGAATATGTCAAACAGAAATATATAAACAATTTAGGGTTATATTGTTATATTACGTAACATATATTGGATTTGGATTAGGGAATATACTTGAAGCTTCATCTGTGTGGATAACTGTGTTAATATCAGCGGAACGTTATATCATTATGAAATGGCCACATTTAGGCAAGTTATATTTTGCAAGATATCAAGGGAAATGGCAAGTGTTTATCACTGTATGTATAGCTGTAGTATTTAATTTTCCCTTATTTTTTACATTGAAAATCAATACTTCTGTTGTCCAAGGACCTAATAATACAAAGAGACATTTTCATTACAGTAAATTAACATGGTTTGGACAATCACCATACTATCACACGTTTACATGGATACGGTTTATCTGTGTTCAATGTATTCCATTGATTACATTGTGCATCGTTAATTTTATGCTTCTACGTTTGACATGGTCTAGTTATCATAACCAGAAAGCACATCAATTAAGTCAACAAAGTTATATGAGACGTTTATCGCTTCCAATGACATCAGGGATTGATGAAAATAATGAGACTTGTTGCCAAAGTGTAAATGATATACCTTATAATTTACAAATAAAACCTCAAGCAATCTCCAATTTCACAAATCAAGTAACAATTTCAAAAGATATTGTTGACAACACTACAATATATAGAAATAACAGTCCAACTCCAACAAAGCGTATTTCTTTAAGAAACAGACGGTTGGAACGTTCACAGCAAGCAAATAACAAATTGTCAATATTATTAATGACTGTGATATTTTTATTTATTATCGGTCAGATTCCTCAAGCTTTAGCGTATGTGCATATCTTGGAATTGATTGTACCAAGATCTTGCATAAAATGTCGACCATATTCAGCTCTCTATAAACATTTTAGTCAGCTGTTATGTTTAATTACATCAACAACTAATTTCTTTTTATATGTTGGTTTGAATAGAAACTTTCGTGAATGTCTGACTGGATTATGTCATACAAGAAGCAAAGACAAAATTTTTAAACGTTGAATAGAATTTCACTGGAAAATAACATGAATCCAATTCATTGAATTTTCATTGTATGTACATTTCATATTTTGTTCACTTATCTGAATGTCTTTACGCCCTTTATTTTTTGTAAAAATCTATTCGGTTTGTATGAGCTAAGGCTATTTTGTCTGGTGAATATTTAAATATTGTACAAAAAGATTCGAATAATAATATTTTGTATCATACATTTCAGATAATTACTGTTCTGAAAGATTTTTAATCTTAAATATACCTCACTAATTTTCTTCAGTATTGATCTTGGATTTTAAGCAAATCACGTTATATAACTTCCTGGCTATTGTCTAATTACATCAACCGATCGTATCAACAGCAATACTGATTTATGAGAACAATCGGATTAGTTGTCGTTTTTTATTTGAAGTTACAAAAGTTCAACAACAACTGAAGTTTATTCTGTATTTTCTAATGTTTTCACCAAATGTCATTCAAAAATTGCAGTTTGAATGTTTTTATAGTTCTGTATGTAACATTTTGTGCTTAATAGTCTATTTTTTGAAAATATGAGAAACAAGATCAAAAATATAACATGTCAGTACCGACTTCATTTACGCGTTTAAATGTTGAATAGTTCCAACTACTTCGTAGATTATTTTATCAAACTTCATTTGGTATTTTTAATCAAGTAATCAATGTGTTTGACTAGAATTCGATGAACAGTTATCTGTTAACCAAAACGTTTGATAAGAAATAAAAGAACCCACCGGTTAATCTTAACATTCCAAAGCAATTTCTGTTCATTGATTAATATCGGCCTAAAAATAGTTCGATTATCCAACTAACGAAGTGGTCATCAATAAAGCTAAAATGACAAATGAGGCAGAATAATACAGATTTATTCTGTTTCATTGTTTCTTTTCAGCTGTTTACAATCGTATTCATATTCAAGGATAACACCAATATATAATAAATTACGGAGTGGTAGACTTTGATAGAGGAAAAGGTTAGAATAATAACGATTATTAGTAATAGCTATGCCTACATATGTGTGTGAATTAGCACGCACATGGTCATTATAGGATGAAGTAAGTAAACAAAATCTGAATGAGGTAGTAATTATATAGAATTGGAAAGATGACAAAACGAATTGTGTAATCATTATAGAAGATTTAAATAGTGTGCATAAATGTAAGATAATTTTTAAAAACTACATCTAAGTCATAGAGTGATGAGGTTGTAATTATAGAGAATTAGAAATAGAAATGACTGTAGTTGGTTTGGAAAGTTTACTTACGTTTTGAAAATCGGGAGAGCGAAAAGCAATGATTGACCAAAAAATTAATTTTAGCGTAGATGAGGTAACAATCACCATGGTGAAGACTGCATAAGCAAATAAATGAAATAACTGTAATAAAAATAATTGCATATGATTTTAATGAACAACGTATATTTACCAAAGCAATGATAAGTTGCTGTCTCTGTCTGGACATATAAACCTGGTTTACTTTTATCAAGTCCTACTGCCTTAGTAAGATGTAAAGAAGTTCTGCTTTGTTGTTTATTGATAATTCTGAGGGATCTCTAAACCTCAGATATATGCACAATATCAAATAAATGCCGAACTAGAGCACTGTTTAGAGGTGCTGCACTTTAGGGTTACAAAATCTTTGGATCGTGCTTGAAAATATGAACGCGCATTCTTCTCTCAATTAAGTGTTTTTGGATGAACGTGTAAAGTGATAAAGTTAGTAAAAAGTCTGTAGATTTCTGTTTGTTTTAAGAAGCAGTTTGTTTCACACAAGATGATCAAATTCACTACTGGATGCCTAATTTTTATGGCAACATTTATTCCATAACTAATTATTCAAGATGATTTCTTCCAAAACAAAGATGAATAAAACACGTTTTCTTGTCAGCTGTATCATAATCAGCCCGTTTGTTAGTCCTATCAAACTTTTCGATAACATTTTGTGGATATCCATCTTTGCGTAGGTAATTTTTAATGACAGTTAACTGTTTTGTTGGATTTTTCCTGGTACACATTATTTGAAACGTATTGGATTAATACACCTTTGTCTTCTTATGAGATTATCTAAAAGTATGAAATTGATTGAATTGTAATAGTCATTCTATTAATGATTGAAAAACATATTAATTAGTCTAAATTGCAAAGTTATTGTTACGCTCATAGTTTAACGTATTTTGTTTGGTATTAAATTGGATAAACGCTTAGTCTAAGTAGGTCCATAGATAATATGCGACTGAACTTTTAGTATTCGAATTAATTCAGTTTCACACATAAAGAGAGAAATAATTAATTGAATGAAAGGTTAATTATCATTTACTAGTTATGATGTAATCTGTTGAGTTTATGTTGAGTTGTTCGAAAATAATGAAAGTATCTTGTTTAACAATGTCACTTAAATGTTTAAAATATCGAACTAAGAAACTAGTATTGTAGTGAACGAGAACACCAGTAAGAACAATCAAATACATTTGAATACAAAATTACAGAATCTCTTGGTAAAATCCTAAAACCATACGGTAAATAATTCATTTGCAAAATTTTAGTCAATTTTCTCAGACTTGATTGTTTTTATTCTCTTCCCTTCGATCATCTTAACCTTCTACCGCCAGGTATTTCACCTTCGATTCATGATACATACTACTTACATCTGTCGACACCAGTAGCACACACCACAGTAGTAGTAGCGGTAGTTGTGTTGGATGAAGTATTTTACTAAATTTTTGCAGAAAGTCTTAGTAGTAAGATGATTTAAAAATAAAGGAATTCTTGTAACTATATGAAAAAATGTATTGGCAATCAGCTTTATCTTAAATTTTGCATTCCTAAAAAAAGCACGTATACCACGAAAGTCAGTTTAATCTTTTATTAAATAAAAAATAAAACAAATTCACGGTAAACAAATTTTTCCTTTCTATGTCTAGTTCATATCTCACCAACAATAAAATGACTGTATATAGAATATATTGTAACTATTCCGGTGATATCACTGTAAATTCTGTTTTTTAAAAACCACGGCAAATTTTAAAAACAACGCTTAGTTAAACAACGAAATGTAACCACGTGATATATATCAATATTCTTGCAAATTATTAAGCTCTCAGAATTTCATACCTAATCAACAGCTGTTCTATTGTGGAAAAAAATACCATATTAACATCTAACTTAAGTAAACTAAGATTTGACAAAATTCTTATTATCCTGTTTAACTATTTTCAAAACAAAACAGACAACTTTTAGGTATTTCAGGTTCATATTTGGGATCATAAGTTGTTTATTACATGATGCGATTCTGATCAGTCTTTTTCACCAGCAAGTAAACATAAAAACTGAAATTATTATCTTATATAATTTTAGTTATTTTTATTAGCATTTTGATTAAGTAGTAGTTGGACATTATCAAAACACATTCCAGGATGCGTTGTTTAATGTTACGTATGTTGGTATTTTGATAGTTTTGAATTGTTTCTTATAGGAATAATGGTTTTCTATATTGAGGTGATCTAGAACTTGTTATGAAGCTCACGTTCGATTTAAAGTTTCATTTAGGCACTATACACGTCAAACGGTAATATGGGTATTTTATGTGGAGCCCCGATCAGCACAGAAAACCAGAGTGAATATGAATATTTTAATCGTTGAATTCAAAAGTCGATCTAAGCTAGAACACCATTGAAAACGCAGAAGCACTGGACGGCCGTTTTGTTCTAATATGGGACTTCTCAGCAGTGTCCACCCACGAGCCTTACACAGAGTTCAAACACAAGATCTTCAGCTTCATGCCTGAACGCTTAACCTGTACGCAGATGGCTACTTGATTTCGATATTTAGTAAGAAGTCATAAAGTAATAATGTAGTGTATCGCTTTTTAAGAAGTCATATAGAGCATATAGTAATATTAATTACATTTTTCTTACGTACTCTCATTACACTTGATACAACTGAAGAAGTTAATAATCAACATAAATTAATGTAGATCTGCTTCGGTGTTAATAAAAATCAGAAGTCAATAAGCTGAACTTTTTTACTCCCAAAGTTTATAGCAGTAAACAAATTATATTTGTTCTATTAGTAAAAATAAAAGCCTGGTGTCCTCTGCTGATCCAAATGTCTCCATAAAATAGTGATCAATCCTGAATCAAGATAGAAATTATAAATTCTGACAGATCATTCATTTGACATATATATGATATTATTGGTAATTTTAATCGCAATCGTAGTTCTTTAGATACTGAGCTTTTATGATGCTGTTAGTGAATTTGGTCTTTGAAAAATGCTGTAAACTGTCCTGGATTACAAAACACCGGTACTGATAGTCCTGTTTATTTTTAACAGCATAGTATTTAAAAAGCTTGAGGATTTCAGTTATATTTTGATACATCTACTTGTCTGTTTGTAACCAGTTAGTAAGCTTATGTAAATTCAGTTAGTTTGGCATTTAGTAATTCGATAATGTGAAAGCTTCAACCATAGATAAATGACATTCTCGGTCTACATAAATCGTTTTATTCAATAACGTTTATGTTTTTTATCGTAGTAGTAAGGTAATTACTTACGGAATGATTTTTAACAGAGTTAGTTTAGAATGTATTGCTAATCATGATTAGAAAATAAGAAAGTTTACTCCTTTTACAAAACCGCTTTCCCGATACATCAAGCAGTTAGAGGGTCAGTTGTTTAAAAAAATGGGAGCTCAAGGAAACACGATTATTCATCTTCAAACCCATTGCATATGTATCAATTTCGTTATCGAATAACTGCTGTAAATATCAAATTATCTAGACTAAACTATTTAGATTAGCATTAATATCTAGTACTGGTAATCTTATTAGTTAAAAAAAACGTTTTTATCAGCCTGCAAGTTGGATACAAATTTGTCTTTCGTCTTATGTACATAAACCTTATTTACTATCCTGTACTCAATAATTCATTCATCTAACCAACTAAGTAGAACTCAAAGAGTTTATAATAATATGAATCAATTGGCATCATACTTGTAGCCATAGTATCCAGGTCAATTGGATTATAGAAAAAGTACTATTTATTTACAACAAATTTAGTAACATTTGTTTTAATTGGGGTACATCTAAATGTAAGATTATTCAATACCTCTCCGTTATTAAATAATGTATTTGTTATTTTTCATCAACTTGAAAAATAAAGTTATTTTTGTTGAAAAATTATTTATTAATAACTCCAACCACGTTCAAAATCTTAACTTCCAGTGTCAGTTGATTAGCCCTGATACTATTAGATAATGATTGATATTTTTAACTAAGTCATTTCTTTGAAGAAGCTTGGATCAGAATGTCAGGTGAAACGTTGGATTTACTTCAAATTCATTCTCTGAGATTTTACAGATACATTTTTCCTCTTTAAATCATCTATTGTTGTTGTTCTTCTTCTTCATAGGAAGGAGAAAAATAATTCATTGAACAGTTCAGATTGAAAATTATGTAGAACTTTGAACACAAAAAGTTTACACTGCTGAAATTGTTTTTTTCATATTCATTCTTGATTGAATAATTATTTAATTTAGAGTATTAAGTTTATCGATTTATGAAACAAATGGGAAGTACACA